TGATAATGAAAAATTTTCTTTCTATTTTTTTTCATGTGTTACGATGTAATTATGTTTTTCCAATATAAAAAAAAAACTCAGCGAGTGACTCTCTACCAATCATGATCATAAATTGTCGGATTATTGGGCAATTTGTGAATACAGCAATTTGGCTGACACGTGCCGCTTCGCAGCCAATCATCTGTCCGGTTGAGCCAAATTGGTTACTCACAAATTTTTTCACTTAGTGTTCTGCATGGACGGGTTCTTTGAAGACCCAGGAATACGGTAATCATTTTAAAAATTTGCAAGATTAAAATATGAAATCAAAAATTTTATTGGGTGCTATCAGAAAATATTCACTTAATTTTAAAATAATATATATACAGTAAACAAACCTCTATAATTGCATCCCTCTTGGGTGTGCATTTTCTCTGTTTCTACATTACAGTATATGCTAAGAAGTCCGGTCATGTTTTGGTCATTAAACCTTTTTTACACTAATTATAGAGGTCTAACTGTTTATAACTTTATTATATATATATATATATATTATATTTTAAATAATCTTATTACTGTCAATAATAAAATCAAAATAGTATTAGTATTAAGAGTTAGAGCGTACGTTAGTGTCTCCAGCTTTCTAGCATCTAAAATAGCACTAGCGAATATCACGAAAAACAAACAATTCGATCTAATTTTTTATTCTGCTGAATTAAAATAACCGATTCCGGTAGAATTGGGTGCTTTCTTAATATCGCTAGTACTATTTTAGATGGACATTCTGGCGTATGTACGTACGCTGTCAGGGTAAGCTTGTGTAACCGTCCGAAATTGGCAAGCACTTCACGTGACAGGATCAAAGTATAAATTGTTTCAGCTTGGTTTCTTTGGATATAATAGTACTCTCATAATCATGGCGGAAACTTTACCGGAAATGCAAAAACTTGTAAAGGAGGCTTCAGATATAAAATATATACCTGGAGCCGCACTAAAAACATATTTCCGTTCAGCAAATGCTTTGTTAAGACAGGTATTTTTTAACGATACGGTTTATTACATTGTTTATCATTTAACAAAATTCTTTTTTGTAGGCACATCGATATAAAGAAGAAAATGACTTAATCAACGCATTTAAATTTTATGTGAGATACGCAACGTAACTAATTCAAATTAATTTAGCTTATAGAAGTGCGTACAAATGATTAATGATATTCAAATAAAAAATACATAGGTTGACGCTCGAAAAGTTACCTCATCACCCAGAATATAAGAAACCAGAACACAAGGCTGGGAAAGTAGAGCTTGCCAAAGTATTAAATGAGAATCGAATTATGTTCAATTTTTTCTGATTCAATTAAAAAAATTCATGCCATATGTTGAATTTTTGTCTCTAGAATTCAAAGATTGTTCTCGATGAAATTGAAAAGCTCAAACCTATGATTCAAGAACGCTTTCGACGTTCTGCAGAAAAAGAATTAGTAACAAATGATATATCTTTGAGTTCTAAGGAAGATCAGAAAGATCAAACTCAAGAATAT